GTCCAGCAGCAGCCGCGCCCGGAGCGGCCGCGCCGGACACAGCGCCTGCGCCAGCGCCCGGACATCGGCCGGACACAGCACCGCCAGCAACACCTGGGGGGAGAGATCCGGGGATTGGAACCCCGAAATGTGGGATCTGAACCCCCAAATGTGGCATTGGAACCCCCAAATGTGGGATTGGAACCCCCAAATCTGGGATCAGAGGGGCTGGGCCGGACACAGCGCCTGCGCCAGCGCCCGGACATCGGCCGGACACAGCACCGCCAGCAACACCTGGGGAGAGATCCGGGATTGGAACCCCGAAATCTGGGATTGGAACCAGGAATCCAGGATTGGAACCCTAAATCCGGGATAGGAACCCCCAAATCTGGGATGGGCAACCCAACGTGTGGGGCAGAACCCCAAATTCCAGGGATAAGCACCCCCAAATTCTGGGATCACCACTCCAAATCCAGGAACGAGGATCCTGAAAATCCTGGGCTCGACCCCCGGCGATCCAGGGATGAGCAGCCCCAGATCCCAAACCCCAGATCCCAGATCCCAAACCCCAAATCCCAGATCCCAGATCCCAAACCCCAGATCCCAGATCCCAAATCCCAGATCCCAAATTCCCAAACCCCAAATCCCAGATCCCATTCCCAGATCCCAAACCCCAGATCCCAAATCCCAGATCCCAAATCCCAGATCCCAGATCCCAAATCCCAGATCCCAAACCCCAGATCCCAAATCCCAGATCCCAGATCCCATTCCCAGATCCCAGATCCCAAATTCCCAGATCCCAAATTCCCAGATCCCAGATCCCATTCCCAGATCCCAAATCCCAGATCCCAAACCCCAGATCCCATTCCCAGATCCCAGATCCCATTCCCAGATCCCAGATCCCAAACCCCAGATCCCAAACCCCAGATCCCATTCCCAGATCCCAGATCCGAAATCCCAGATCCCAAATCCCAGATCCCAGATCCCAAACCTGCAGCAGGCCGGGGTCGGGGTTGTTCCAGCCGCATTCCCGGAGCTCCTGGAGCAGCCGGGACAATTCCTGCTGATCCAGGGGGGGATTCCCGGGATCCCGGGGCAGCAGCAGCCCCCGCCAGCATCCCAAAACCTCCGAATCCAGGCTCTGGATCAGGCTCTGGGGAGAGACACGGAATGGGAACGGGATCCCGACCCCAAAAACACCGGGAATGTCACGGGAAATCCCCTGGGAATCCCCAAGGGATCACAGGGGGAATCCCAGAGGGATCACAGGGGGAATCCCAAAGGGATCACAGGGGAAATCCCAAAGGGATCACGGGGGGAATCCCAAAGGGATCACAGGGGGAATCCCAAAGGGATCACAGGGGGAATCCCAAAGGGATCACAGGGGGAATCCCACGGGAATGGCAGGGAAGATCCCATGGGAATCCCAGGGAAATCCTGCAGGAATCCCAGGGAAAATCCCAGTTGGGAATGGCAGGGAAATCCCAGGGAAAATCCCAGTGGGAATGAGGGAAATCCCATGGAAAATCCCAGGGAAATCCCAGCAGGAATCCCAGGGAAATCCCAGCAGGAATCCCAGGGAAAATCCCATTGGGAATGAGGGAAATCCCAGGGGAATCCCATCAGGAAAACCAGGGAAATCCCAGGGAAAATCCCAGGGAAATCCCATTGCGAATCCCAGGGAAAATCCCAGGGAAATCCCATTGCGAATCCCAGGGAAATCCCAGGGGAATCCCATTGGGAATGAGGGAAATCCCAGGGGAATCCCATCAGGAATCCCAGGGCAATCCCAGGGGAATCCCAGGGAAACCCCAGGAGAATCCCATCAGGACTCCCAGGGGAATCCCATTGGGAATGAGGGCGATCCCAGGGGAATCCCATCAGGACTCCCATGGAAATCCCAGGGAAAATCCCAGGGGAATCCCATTGGGAATGAGGGCAATCCCAGGGGAATCCCATCAGGACTCCCAGGGCAATCCCAGGGGAATCCCAGGGCAATCCCAGGGCGATCCCAGGGGAATCCCGTCAGGACTCCCAGGGGATTCCCAGTGAGGCCCGCAGGGTTCCCAGCCCCGTTCCCGGGGTTTTTCCCGGGATTGGGGCGCGGCTCCCACCTGCATGCGCAGATCCAGGCGGGATCGGCGCTCCCACCATTCCCGGCGCTCGCTGCAGCCGTTGGCCTCGCGCTGCTCCCGCTGGATCCCCTCCAGCTCCCGGAGCAGCTCAGCCAGGGGCGCCTGCAACACCGCGGGAATCATCGGGAATCGCCGGGAATTCCGGGATCGGGAATCATCGGGAATCGTCGGGAATTCAGGGATTGGGAATTCAGAGATCGGGAATTCAGGGATCAGGAATTCTGGGATCGGGAATTCCGGCAGGGATTGGGAATTCTGGGGATCGGGAATTCCAGGGATCAGGAATCCTCCAGGACTCCCAGAACAGGGGGAGGAGGATGGGGGAGGAAGGTGAGGATGAGGATGAGGAGGAAGATGAAGGTGAGGATAATGATGAGGATGAAGGTGAGGATGAAGATGAAGGTGAGGATGAAGATGAAGGTGAGGATGATGGGGATGATGATGATGAAGGTGATGATGAAGGTGAGGATGATGATGATGATGAAGGTGAGGATGATGGGGATGATGATGATGAAGGTGAGGATGATGATGATGAAGGTGAGGATGAAGGTGAGGATGATGCGGATGATGAGGATGAAGGTGATGATGAAGGTGAGGATAATGATGATGATGAAGGTGAGGATGATGGGGATGATGATCATGAAGGTGAGGATGATGATGATGAAGGTGATGATGAAGGTCACTGACCTGGCCGCGCTGGGTGGGGATCCGGACGCTCAGGGGCTCGGCGCCGCGCTCCAGCCGCGTCAGCAGCA